AAATAAATAAATAAATCTTACAACCAAGATCAGGATTGCTAACTTCAAGAGATTAACAACAAAAAAAATGCATTCAAATTTTTTGCCATATTTAACAATACTTACTCATTTTTCCCCCAATTCACCCGATAAGATCTTTTACACTTTAATTAATCTTCACTTTATGTTCTAGACTTTCTACATTTATCGAGAAAATTAAAGAAATAAAAATAAAAATAGATCGACATAGCTGTTAAAGGATTAAATAATTTCACTAGGACAAATGTCAAAGATATACTAACTTCAATTTTATGTATAGTATAGAGTATATAGACTCCAGCCGCACTATTTTATTGATTTTTCCAAGCATTGAATGTGAGTTGTGTATGTACTACATAGTATAGACTCCATCCGCATTTAATTTGAAGTGCCTAAACACACAAAAAGTTGTGCTATTGACTAAAATTATTCAAGTCCCATGATTCCATCTACTATAAAAATAGAATCTTGCATGATTGAACATTTGATTTCCACCAAACTTCATTTAATTCTCAACTCATGTACTTCACCCAATTTTAAGTGTTTTTTTGATTAATTTAGTCCTTTTGAGACCAAATACATACACTAAAAGATGGATGTGAATAACGGGCCGGAGGTGTTTTCGAGATCGGCCCGTGAAGGGGACGACCAAGAGGCTCTCAAGTGGGCCACGCTCGAGAAGTTCCCCACTTTGGACCGTCTTAGAAAGGGCCTTTTGTTCTGTTTGAGAAGGGCCGCCAACGAGGTCGACGTACAAAATCTCGAAATTCATGAGAGGGTAAATTTGCTTGAGAGGCTTGTTAAGGAAGAAGATAATGAGGAGTTCTTGTTGAAGCTCAAGAATAGAATGGATAGGTAATTTCTTAAATGTTTTTAAAGATTATTGCGTGAGGCGGCCTAACTGTTAGGTGGATCTACTCGTCATTTTTTTAATAAAAATGCATATTTATAAATTATAATATGAAATGTCATACTTATAAATTATAATATGAAATGCATACTTTATTAATTATGCATTATGTAAAAACTAAATATTTTATATATTTTGACATACAACACTTAATTCATTTATGTCAATTGGTACTTATAAATGTAATTGTGTTGTCCTTCCATTTGGTATCACTGCAACAACAAATATAGTGAGACAAGTGAAAGTATTATACTAAAGTTTGTTTAATATAAAACAACAATGCACAATATATGAATTATTTGCTAATTCCACCTGGTCTGTCAAGTTGATCGGTATATTTAGAAGATCTTACAAATTAATATTTTCTCCAATTGTATGTATATGTAACTTTTAAAAGTGATGGTGGTATATAGGCAAAATTAGAGATTTAGTCTTTCAATTGACACCTATTTTAGGTTTAGTCCTTTAAGTGACCAACTTTTAGAAAACATCCCGTAAGTGCGAAAAATCGTGAGAAATGGTCCTGCCACCGGCAAATAAAGGTCATTTTTACCGGGTAGTCCACGTGGAATTTTGTTTTTTTTTTTTTNNNTTTTTTTTTTGCTGAGTTGTAAGCCACGTGGAATATGTGGCATAATTACAAAAAAAATGGGGAGGAGAGGATTCGAACCCGCGTGGATAAGCTTTGGAAGTGGCTCATGAGCCACTTAACCTAACACAACTTATGTTAAATATTTGGTTTCATTTATATATCTATCAAAAGAGTTTTACCCATATATATATATTAAATAATTATTGAAATTAATACATAATATATTAATTATTTTTAAAACAAATGTAGAATTTTTTAAATAATTATCAAAAACATTATATATATCATTAATTTATTATTAATTAAATAATATTACTTAATAAATAATATAATAAATAATTTATAAATATAAATTAATAAATAAATAT